GCCATTGAATTAGGATTATATATTAAAATATAATAATAAAATTGACGAATCTAAATATAATTTAATAATGTGATTTAAATTATATTGTATATATTATATTATATATGTATTGTATTATATTATGTTTCACACATTGATACGTATTAACCTTTGGTGTTCGTATTGAATTTTTGCACAAACGTTTCGTTAATTATGATTGATTTCCTTGCCGGCACAATACACAATTTCGCTGTTTTTCTTTTCATAATGCAAAGTCAATAACATATTTCCAAAAATCCAAATGAAATTTCTCCAATATTCTAACGTAAAACATTCACTTGTTAATTAATTTAACCGCACGATAATTTTATCACTTTCGCAATAAATATCTAATATAGTCATGAATAATAAGATGTCACGTATAATAATTTTTAATTATTAATATGTGCAATTAAAAACTTAATAAAACTTGTAATTAAATTTCTTTCGAACTGTTCAATCTGATCAAAAAATATGTGAAAAACATTTGAAAAACACCTGAGTGTTTCTGATTCAGTGGTTAGAAACTATAATAAAGAAAATGGAATCTGTAAGCAGAAATTTGTTTTATTACGAGCATTGTATAGGATAAATCAATACAAATTATTGCTTAAAACATCTCGAAGAGAGATTCTCTAAATGAATCACCTCTGCAAGGCAAATGAAAGCTGCTGTTTATCAAAATATAACTGTATTCAAAGAAAGAAAATTATTACACATTCAAAGGAAATATGAAGGAAATAATTATCTTAACTTCAACCTGATATATCTAAAATTGCAGAATTGCATTTAATTTTCACAATCAATGAGTAAAAAGTTCTTTTAGATAATGGTACTCATTTATTCTCATCTTGTATAAAATATTCTATTTTCAATACTTTATCTACGATGTGGATATTTCACGTATTTTTTGCATTTCTCGTGCATTCTTAAATATCCTATGGAAGCATAAGAATCCGCAGTTAACTAATTAGCACGGACACAAAAGAAAGTACGTCTCTGTGTCTTCCTTAAGTACTTAAACAAATGAAGAAAAAAAAAAAATTTGAATGAAAGTTATTACCACGTAATAACAGTTACGAAGGAAATTCAATAATTTAACAGAGTTGTTAAGATGATTCTTTTGCGAGCGGAAAAAAGTTACATCTTCCGTGTCGCGTAATGCCGATGCGACACAATTAAATTGGTCTCTGCGGTTAATAGAAACGTGTTCCGAAGCGAGTTCATTCAAAGAAATTGCATTTTCCACGGTTTCCAGCAAGGCTGTGCTTAAACGACAGGAAAATCCGCGAAACTAGCACCATTTCCAGCTCTCGTAAATCACGTATCCTAGCTACGAGTAGATAGCCCCGTTTTATGTTATCAACTAACCTTGTTCCAGTTTAGACAAACTTTCTGCGCGCCGTTTAGCTTTCGTTTGTTGCTCATTTTTACCTATGCGATTTTCATCGTTTCCGGTTTAACCAGTCGATAAAACTTCCATTTCCGTCGATCGTTTCGCGCGTTCGAGTTGTTTGTCTCGCTTTCTTGAAATTCTTCGATTGAATTTCATGTCTGTAGCGAAGACTTCTTTATCCGAATATCTATCCGAGCAAAATCTTTACTAATAATTAGACCGCAGATTTTTGTGCATTTTTGCACTTTTACGAACACGAGAAAAAAAAATGAAGAGTAAACAGAAACTTGTTTCAGTTATTAAATATTTGTTAATAAATACTCTAGTTTGGATATTTTATATATTTTTTGTGCGTTTATTTAGCTTCAAGTTTCCATAAGTGCATGAAAATTCGCAGTCTACTAATAGATGTACGAGGTGTTTCAGTATCGAAGATGCAACTGAGGAGGGGATGATGAAAAATAAGTTGAAAATAAAGAATAAAATTTTGCGAAGAAAATCAAGTTTGAATTTAGACCAACCCAATTATATCAAATAGAATAATATCGTGATTTCCACAAGATCGCTCAGTTGACAATAATTTTTCGCAGTCGAACACAGAGGGCAGAAGTTAAAATACACGATCATTTAACTGTTAAAAATGGGTCCACAATCCAATGTGCAATGCATTTTCCCGTCATGCGAGAGATGTCCGCTCGAATCTGCGTGGTGAACAATTGAAAATATCTCTGAATTAAAGTGTTGCGAGGAAAATTCTGTAAAGGATAAGACAAAAATGATAGTAAATTTTATACGAATTATTTATTCCGACATTTCAATAGTTCCACAGATTCTAATATAAAAATTTAGGTAGTAAATCTAGATTTAGATATTAAAGATTCAGAGAGTAAATTTTTTATGAATGAATCATGAAAAAAAAAGAATTCTCAACGTTGAATTTGTCGTGTGTTTCGAAAGATGTATTAATTGTGCAATTAATTTTTGGAGAAAATAATTCTACAGACTTTCCTAAGTACAATGACATATGAAATATCACCTAAGCGATGATATAGCCAGAGAATGATTTTGCGTGAAAAAATAAATCGGAAAAGAATAACGAAATTTTCTTTATTTAAGACCATGTTTCCGAGGAAACCGGATTTAAAAATTTGCCAAGTATATTGAATTGGACAGGGATGAATGATCAATAGAAGAATTACTCTACGAAAATGGACTTTGAACATTTTCAAAGAGAATTAGCTTAATAAATTTTCAAACTTAATTTTCCGAGAAACGAAGTGCCTTCTGGAAAAAACTTTTTGACTTATGTTGATTACTCATGCCTCTTCGGGATTGGCAAAATTTAAATAAACACTTTATCAATTTTCAAACTTGCTTGTTTCCTTGGGAACGAAGCGTCAATTGTAAAAATTTTATTCTTTCTTTCTACACTGCGTTCTCGGTTGCACCACCATGACGTACTCTATAAAATTTAAAGCTCGAATGCCCTTGCTCCAGTTTAGACAAAAAAAAAAAAAAAAAACACATACGTAGAGTTGCAGAATTATTTCTTGCAAACGAAAATTGTACGCAGTTGAATGACTGTGTACACACATCGACGTGAACAGCTCGAAGTGAAATTCGTTTTTCAGTTTCTACGAGTTCGAGATGCACAATCGTCGGACGACGCAACTTCGTCGCCCATGTTTAAAAAGCGATTCTCGCGTAGTCGATGCAATTTGTTTCTGCGCCATCAGCGATGCTGCATCCAGCCTCGTGACTTATTACAAGATTTGCAACAACTAACCGAAGGGCGAAAGAACTTGTCCAATTGCGAGGCGTTGCTGGCGCAAATCGATCCCTCTCGCTTTTTCCCGCACTCTCGAAACGACGTTTATTTCCGAACTTCATCCCCATTCAATTACGCGTTTCATCCGAGCCGTTTACAGTTCTCGCTCGCGCCTCGCCCTATCGGCCGACTTTCCACGAAAATTGAACGGAAATTCGCCGATGGACGTTTCGCTGCCACTACGATCGAGTTAAGAACGTGTTTATTACGTCGTTGATGACAACGAAGCATTCCGAATGAAGCGAGAATTAGGAGAAGACGAAAGAAAACGATCAGGTTGGTCGCAAAAATACACTTTCAACCCTTCGAGAACGACGCCTCACTTAGATAGAAATTACATTGTATAATAATATCATATTTGATATCGTTGATATTATTAATAAATTTTAAATTAACGAATGTTAAATGTACGTCGATTAGACTTTACACGAATTAGATTAGATACATAGATTGATGCAATGATTTTTTGAAAGAAATTCGGATAAAACTTGTTGCACAATCTAGTGCAAAGAAATTATTCTTCGAGAACTAATAATGAGTGTATAAGGTACTTTCGCAACTGACTGTGTATTATAAAATTCCGCGAGACTCGAGTTTTGCTCGGGAAGATTCTTCGTTAGAAATTCGTTACTGAATCTTCTCGAGGGGGAAGAGTTCAAAAATTTTTAAATCAAAGGGAAAGTGTTCTTTAAAGGACGAGAAAGAAGTTTCTGATTTAACGAGAGTTCAACGAAGTTTAAACAGCTAAAAAAAAGATAGGCGTTGCAGAAAATCACTCGACTCCGATGGTTTATGAACAAGCGCCAAACTTCCGTCCCGGAAGACAAACGACCAAGAGAAAAAACTCGAGTGTCTCTGGCCTTTTATCCACGTTAGTGAATCTCATTTGAGAACATTTCCCTTTAAAATCGAACTGGTCTGCCTGCATATAGTTGCTCTAGTCTATTTTTGCGCTTTATTAAAAAAAATATCGTACCGATTTCTGTAATTCACGGAAACGTGTGAAATTTTCAATCACAGCGGCGTAATTTCGTCTAAATTTAACGATGCGTTTAAATTACATGAACAAAAAGTGCATAAAATATTCCACTTTATATATTTGCAATAATAATGTTAATTATTGTTTGAATATTCTATTGTTAATTTTGGATATTTCATAATGCCGTGTGAATTTTTTTTGAATATGTTAGAACACTTTTAGCTTTGACTCTGAAAAATATATCAGACATAAATGACATATGTAAAACATTTCCAAAATAAGAGTTAGTCGTCATTCCCAAATTTTTACACTTTATGAATGTCAAAATCCTTATAAATAACGAAAGAAACAACTTAAAGATAAGTTATTAAAAAATAGTAATTTTACTTAAGAAAAGGTAATGTAGACAGGAAAGTTTAATAAACAAAAAAAAAATAAATAAATATTTCAAACGATCGGATCGACACGATATTCATTCTCTGATGTTATTCCGCAGAAAAAAAGATTAGTATATCAAACGTAATTGACACGATCTTCGTCTTCTGATATCATTTTATATTCCAAAGAAAAAGAGAGTGATCCATGAGTTTGACAAAAGTTCACCACGGAAACTGTACAAAGAACGTGTCTGCGGTGAATTCTGAAGTTCACTGCAAACTTTGACCCAGCATTCGGTCGAAGATGCTGTAAATATTTAACGAATCCATTGGCAGTCGTCCAGTTGCTCGAATGTCGAGCAATCGTTGACTGGATGCAGTTATTGTGCGGTCGTGATTTAAGAAACTAGTTCCTTAGCGTTGAGAAATCCAAAAATGTCGGGTCGGACATCGAGTCGAGAACTTCTTTCGGGATCGAGACAAGCTCGCGAAGGTATTTCAAGACTCTAAATTATCCCAAGGATTTCGAGAACTCGAAGCATGTTCAGCTTATAAAACGAGGGATTCCGAAATGCGTTAAAAGTGCAAATGATCGTGCACTCGATGTGCTTGATATTCTCGGAAATTCTGATACTTTCAAATCTCGAATCTTGGCTGTCTCCAGGTACTCAGAAATGAAATTATTGTTTAGGAAACTAACTTTTTCTTTCTAACTTCTCGTCCCAACTATCTAACGAATTTTCTGTCTAGTAACAACGGACGGCCAAATTTCGTTGATGATGTGTGTGGAGGTGAAGGTCATTGAGTCAGTGGCTTCCGTGAAATTCTGAAATTTCCAAAAATCTCGTTACCTTCCGTCTGTCCCTGTGAGCGGAATACAGAATCCAGATAATGTAGCACGCCATTATTATGGCCGGTATGCAGACACCGGCTATGGTGGACGCTTCCCGCAGGAGTGCGTGATGCACAGCAAGTAGCATGATTGCCAGCACGGCCCCACCGGCGACGTACCTTCCGGTCCGACGTCCTTCGTCCTGTCAACAAATGACAAATATACAGGCGATGTCCTGTGAATTTTACGCGCCCGTTAATCCCCTTAACTGCTTTAATTCTATTTTTCGCATGGTAATCAACGTGTTTATTAATTCTACGTCCTCGCTAAATTCAAATGTTTTTCTCAAAGTGCCACGATTCTCAGTCGATCGTACAGAATTGAATTGAAGAAAATTGCGCGTAATATTCTATAAAAATTAAATACTTCATTTCACGTAAACGTATATATAATATATAAATTTTCCAGTGTTAATTGACTTTATTGTACTTTGAATTTTTCTATTTACTCAAAAATACTACCATATCCATCTTTTCACGTAGAAATGGACAGTTTAAAATTGCATTTTAATAGAAATTCAGTCTCTTTTCGGAGAACGTGACTCATTATTGTAAGACAAGGGATTAAGTTCTTCCGTCGAGGTTTTTCCTCACAGACGAAATTCCTCGAAAGAAGATATTTTCGCGTTTTATTCGGCTAGAAAAAACTTTCAGAGACGTTCGAACGTGGAATGGACGATGATGACATTAGTAACAGGAAGATGTACACGAACGATGTAATAGAAAGCAAATTCTAAAGCGAAAATGCTATCTTTGATATCGATGGTAAATTTATGTATTATGATTGAGGAAATGGGAGCAATAACGTGCTTGAAAGGAGAGTAAGCACATTTCTGGAAATGGAGCTGTGAAAACGACTCAGGAAAGAATCACATTGAAACAGTATTGTTCAACCAACACGTTCATATCCTAATTATCTCGTTTATTTTGAAACTTTACTGTTTAATTATTGTCGCAGTTACTGTGTTTTTTAATTGATAGATTTTAATGAACCTACCTTTGATCGTGCATTTGACTATTATCGAAGAAAATTCTTTTGTTGTAAAAAACAATATTATCGAAAGATAGTTAATAATTAAATTTATCTTTCATGTTATTGAATTGAGTTATAGTTATTTTATTGTTGTAATCAAATTGAACATTACTGGAGAAAGATCAGAAAATATTACCAAACATTTATCAAAGAGAGACATCGTTAGCAGATTACAAATTCTTATCGCATTTATGAAAAGTTTAAAAGTGTAAGAGTATACATAACGCACGTATTATACAAAAATATATAAATTACAGTAACCCTCAATTATGAGCCATAAATAACTTTTTATTTAACTTCCGTCCTTTTAATTACCTTCATTAGAATACAAAACTGCAAACATGTACGCAGTTGATACGCAGTTTCCATTCTTTTTTAATTGTAGGAAAAACTCCATCTGCACGAGCTCTATTTATTTGAACTAGATTTCAGCCAGTAGCCGTTTAAATGAGATCAAACGTTGAATTTATTTATTTGAATTCGAACTGCTATCGTATGGATAAAAAAAAAAATTACTAGTGAAGGAAAGGAATTATATAAATTATTGTTGGTGTAGAAATTCTATTGTATCTTTGTAAAAAAGAAAAAAAGAAAAAAAGAAGAAATTGCTGTACCTTTGTAAAAAGAGATTAATGTACCTCTATAAAAGAAATTGCATGAAAATTGCAGTCCGCTCGTCAGACGAAATTCAATGGCGTTAGGGGACTCTGTCCCCTCGGAACGAAAGAGGGAAAGCCACAGAGGACAGAAGACTCGGTATTAAATTTTGGGTAGCGATCGCCGGCCGAAGTGACAGCTCCATTTCCATTCGTGCGACGCCGATGCAATTTGACCTGTCGCTGCTTTGCATTCGGCGCGCACACGCGTGTTCACCCGCGTCATCACCGATAGCCTAACACGTTTCCCTTTTATTATCGTATTCAAATCGAAGTACCGGCGGATGTACGTACTCAGATACTTGGCACACTTTTTGTCGACGATTTATTTTGTCGTAAGTCGCGAGCGTGCAAGCAGAGATTTGCACGGCAAATACGCGAATCGACTGCACCGTGTGCACATTTGCTTCGACGATCGAATCTACTATTTTTCCCCACGCTTTCCCAACACGCTCGTGAATAGTTTTGTATAGTTTTTTTTTCTTAGTAGTTTGATTCGATGTGAGATTTTTGTTGAAATTTTGGTATATACTGATGTATCCTTTTTACTCTCAAACCTTTTTCCTTATAAATGAGTATTTCTTATAAAGTAATGAATAATTATCTATAACTTTGTAACCATCTCATTTCTCGCTTTTTTTTTTTTAGTAATTTATTCTGATCTAATTGAAGAATTGTTTCAATTGAAGCTTAATCAACGAAATTTCATAATATTAAACTAATGATATGAATTCTAACAGATTCAAAAATTACGCTGATTTAAAAGATCGTTTATACATCATGGATCAGAGATAGAGAGAGGGGAAGAAATTAATATAAACTATTCACAAATAAATTCTGGCGAACTCGTTAATGTTTGTAAATGCAAGGTAAAAAGATATATTGCACGTATATGTAGAAACTTCCAATTGAATAGAAACTACTATGGGGACACGGTTTTCCATTTTCACCGCAACGCGTGACCCGTTTTCCCTGCGACGCATATTGCACGAAAACAAAGGATTAACATTAACAACGCGACTCTCGCTGTATTTTTATTTGGCAAGAGTGTGTTGCATGAAACAACGCACAAGAGCCGAAAGTTTTCACGGAGTGAAAAACATTGCCACGATAGAAAAACGTTACGTTTTAAAGATTTCATTCTGTGAAATTGCGCGCGTGCAATATCTCTCTTTCTCGCCGTGAGGTATCGTTGTTCCACAACGTAATGGAAAAACAGCGATCCTTCATTCACGACCAACTGTTTGGGAAAGAAGCCTTGTTCTGTAAAATTAACAAATAACACGACGTTAAAGCCATCCGTCTGTCTTTGAGCTTTCAGAGCAGATTGCAGTCCTCGATCATTGAATTAGGACCATTCACAGTGCAAAGTTTGTTTCTTGTAGAAATATTCACTTTATAAATTAATAATGATAATAACGAGATGTCATGTACAGTAATGTGAATATAAATTATTAATACGTAGGTGTTTGTGATACTTTGATAATTACTGAAATTTACAATTAAATTCCGTGCAAAGCTTACACATTGTGAAAATTATGGCGCTAATTCAATAACCAGAGGCTGTACGCTAGTGACGCATAAACACAACAACGAATCTCTTCCCTCTGCCCCTGTTGCGTACAAACAACTGTTAAGCCAAAGAAAAAAATAAAAAATAAAAAAGGAAAAAAGAAAAAATATAACGGAAAGAGAAATACTAAGAGAAGAGATACTAACTCTGCGCTGTTTTTACATACTTTTTTTTTTAATCGAGTTAAATTTATTGTGCAAATGATATATACGAAATATAAATTTTAAAAGTTTCGCAAACAAACAAAAAGAGAATTGGACAGAGATCCCCACAGGGGATCCTCGGGCTGCAAAAATTTTCAAAACGGGCAACACGCAGGCTGCGAGTTATGCATCACTGCTGTACATGGTTGGAAAAAGTTCAGCCGATCGAAGCGCGTAGGATCGGACCGAAACTGTTCTAAATTTTGACCGAAACTGTTCTAAATTTTGAACGTGCGAGTGGTGGAAAATAGTTTGTGCCGAAACCCCTTTTACGATACCTTTCCCTTCAACCCTGCCCTTTCGAAATCACCATACCGCTATTAATCGCGCAAAGAATAACGAGAATATCGCAGCGAAGATAGAACTGACAGACAACGTCAATGCTGTCTGAAAATATCGTTTTAACGAAAGATCATGGTATTAAACGTGTATTAAAAATACGCGTGTTTCTGAAACTACATGCGCAAATATAACCTTTACGAGTATGTTAATATTATGTTAATGATTATGCAAAATAAATTCATTGAAGTCTACGCTATAATTATTAATTATAACACTAAGAAGAACCATAGTAGATTTTACGATTTGTTTATGCTTTCTAATGAACAAATGTGAGAAGAAACACCGCCACTTTTTCAAGATATATACAACTTTAACCAATAAATAAATTAATACGTATAAAATCTTAAACATCCTTGTCTTTCCTCAGGTGTATGAGATTCGCAAATGTGTGTACATATGTAAGTAGATTTTCGTGACTTTGATGGATCTGTTCGGGATCGACATCAAGTCCATCATTACAAATAATAATATAAGTAATATAATGATATAAATGTAATATATTAATATTACAAATGATAATATAAACGAACGGAGAAAATGGATATAAATACTAAACAAAACAGAAGAAACATTATTAGCGTTTACAAAGTGTTCCAAATATCTCTGTAAATATTCGAAATATTTGACGTATGCAGATGCATATTTGATATACGTAGAATATTCGACGTACGTAGGCTTTCGTAACTCTATATTAATATGTGTACCGTATATTAAAAATTACACTAATTAGAACGCGAGTATATTAAACATACGTGTAACCAGTGTAGTGACTAACCGTGGTTGCAACAGTATTTAGGGTGTCCCTCGAAGAGGACGCGTTCGATCTGAGAGGCATGGCCCTGACAATAACATAAATCAGCTTCGACCGACAGATTTAAACAATCCTCAACGACAGAAACGTCCCGATGGAATTGAGCTGCCTTCGCGAACATAGATCATCGATACTCCCTCGTCGCGATTCAATCTCCCGGTCATTCTTCTCGTTCTAAGCGGCCACATGAATCATTGCCAGCCAAAGGACACCTTGCAACATGACCAACGTTCTCCTATGGAACATTTTTTATTGTACACGATATCTCACTCTGGCCCAGTCTCGCCAGTTGGTTCTCTCCTCTTCTTTCCTTTCCCTCCTTTCTTCCCTCGATGCACACTGCTTCGAAACTTTTGCTATGTTTCACACACTTCGAATAACACGCGTTACTAGGAATTTCTAGTGAAATTTATTTGGTACACCAGCTGTTAAACCGAACATCCTGTGTTTACAACGGGCATGGTTCGACTTGAATGTTTCAGTTCGTGCTAGAGTATTTAATAGAATAGATAATCCGGTATAAGATGTATTAACTGCGTATAACCAGAATTTATATATATATATATATATAAGTTAATTAGAATTTTTTTTTAGTTACGGAATGGAAAGATCATTGGTTAATTGTTATTATTTGTTCTAATTTAAAATCCGGGAAATAATAGTCGTTAAAAACAAGATAGTTGGTATTTTTGGCAAGAGAGAAGCAATAAGCAAGGAAAAGCAAAATTTTCAAAATGTGATGTCATACGAATATGTAACTTCAAAGTTACATGACCTTTTATAGAATGTTAAAATAATTAGTTTGCTTATTAGAGATTCAAAGAAGAATCCGCTTGCAGAAAAGCATACGTGCACTTTTATTTCGTTCCTCATTCGGTGTTCAGTTCAAAATTTTAGCAAGCACTCAAAGAGTTAATTCGGGAAAGATTACAGTGGTAGAAAAAACACGAGAAATTACTGAGGAAATCACTTTTAACATTTAGCATACACGATTCTTTGTCCAACGTTCATTCACTGAGCTTGAAACTGAGCAGTAATCAGCAGATGCAGTATTATATAAAAATATATATAAAAATCACTGTGACCTCGGACGCCCAATGTTCTTGATCTTCAGATCCTGGAGCCTTTTGCTTCGTTTCATTCAACGTAAGAAATGTAAAGTGTATTCACTTTGAAACGAGCAAGACCAGTAAAACATAGAAATATATATAAAATTATACACAGAGGTCTTGAACATCCAACGTTCACAATCTTCGAATTCTAAAAAAATTTTGGAGCTCTTCAACGTTGTCCAACGTTCGTTCACTGAGAGATACAATCCTCCGAAACACGCTGGACACACTGGAATCTTGAGATCTTCGTAAAAAATTCTAACGTCCTCCGTCTTGTTTCGTTTAACGTTCATTCACTAACAATGAGAGATGCAGTCACTTTGAAACGAATTGGCGACTAGCAACGTCGCCTTTTTGAGCTTGGTCGTTCCTTCGGCATTGTGCGTGTCGCAAATACATTCACGACGACCAGGTTCGTTTTGCAAATGCAAGAAGAAGATCCGAAACTAAGAAAGGAAACACGGAGGAGGGTTTTTTCTAAAAAGTTCACGATCGACGATCACGACATGATCGGCACCTCGCGTACACTGGGAGGCGGTGGTGCGTCGATCCTCGGAATCGATGGTGGCTGAAACTGGCCTCGCGGGAGAGTTTGGAAAATGAGAGAACGAGGAGGCGTTCTGAAGGAAGGATGTATCGAGGGAACAGTGGCAGCCGCGCATTTACAACGCTGACGGCACAATATAACCCAGGCAAACTGGCTAGCATAATAAACGAATAACACGACCGACCAACACACCCACGTCGACAGACGTCTCTCTTTCTCAAACATGGCGCGGTGCGTTGCGTTACGGAACGAATCCGACGATCGAAGATAAATGTCTTTGCCAAAATTAGACGAGATCCTTTCCTCTGGTGTTTGACGAACGTTGCAGGCCGAATACCTTTGGTAAAATTCCTCCGTGAAGAAGATTGACGTTCCATTAGGTTGGCTGGAAAGCTAACGTCGGATTTTTGTTTACGAAATGGTTTTATTTTGCGTAAAGATGACTGGTTTTAACTCTCGTGAATTTCTCTGAAATTAAAAATTTACTTCGAATTCGAACGAAATATGAGAAAATCGTTATTATTGTTGTATTGTTATCCGCGGTTCCATTTAATTTGATGTTGAACATCTTAAAATTGTATATATTGTATATATTCTTATTCTTTCAATTGACTGTAAAATTGAAATGTATAAAATTATTTGAGAATATAAAGTTTCTTTGACGAGATTGTAACAAACAGATATGCAATCACACACAAAAATCGAGAAATCTAGTATAAAAAGGATTTATGCTACAAGATGTTGAAAAATGAGATTTCTGTTAATTCCGGCATCTCTTGGTGTTCACATTAATTTATAAATACTTGATGAAAATATGAAATACAATTATTTAATTAGTTATTTGCATTGTAACACTGCTCTTCACGCTCTTCTTAATAAAGTTTTTCCCTTCTCCTTGCAAACATAATTCTTTCCAAATTGCGTCACTTTCGTCACAATATCGTCCGGAATATGACTTTTAATAATAATCTCGTATTAACGAACAAATTGCACGAATTGTCAGAGGCTGTTAGTTTTTTACTCAATTTTACGCGATATATCTGTTAATATATGCTAACATGTTAAAACGCAGTAAAGCTGACGGTAAACCGTGTTATGCCGAAATCGAATTAACGTTGTTCCTGTGGTCCATAAGGGAGTTTGGAGCGGAATGTTGACTCCCGGAGCATCTGATTGGAGATGCTCGTGAAATTGAATGCTGCCCGCGTGAACTGTTCTATCGCAAATTCTGTTCCACGAATATTCGATACCACTCGATGAAACTGTTGTACCTTTGATTAAAGACAAGAAGCTTTCGTGACACTGTTCAACGTTAAATATTTCGCTCGAAATTTTATATGAATTTCATTTCTACACTAACACGGTACATCACTGTACAGAAAGTTTATTTTTAATTTTCAATATTTAATCAGACAATAATAATAGAATAATATTGTATATTTTATGATGGAATTGTTGATGTATCAACACTTTATAGAGTGCAAACTATCATGTAATTCTTCCTACAAAATAAATGCACCTAACATAAACGTAAAATATTTAAATATACAAGTGGCACTTGTAATTAATCGAACAATAGTCGATGGACACTGACTTCAATAATTTGAATGTAATATACGCAATTCAGTTTAAATGGAAGATCTCTATATTTCGATCAAATATAAAGACTACAATGGAAGCTTCACATTCTTCATTTTTGCAGAGCGCAGCGATTTAAATTAAATACAGATACAAAAAAGCGCAGAAAAATGACAAAGCTGAGCACAATGCCATTATTAATTTAATACATCGCTCATCGACGATACTTTCAACAAATTCCCATTTGCATAAATTTTCGTTCTTACATTTAACATTTGAGCGAACAAGAATTGAGGAATTAACAGTGACTCGATTTTTTATTAAATGAACGATAAAAAGTGTATCCGTCAAGATAATTCTGAATAAAATAATTTCAAGGGAGAGAACTGCAGATAAATACAAACCCGATCTTCAGACACTAAATACAATAATAAACAACGTATGTAAACGATAAAAACTCTCTTGCGCAAATCCTGTCTTCAGAACCGGAGAATGAAAGCAAATTGGAGCAAATTTCCATGGTCCTCTGAAATAACCGTCGTTACGCCGGTGGTCATCGTGCCGTAGTTCGTTCAAACCTCCTAATGAAGAAATAAAAAGGGCCTATTCAGAGAGAAAGGCCACGAAATGCCTTGGCAATCAAATAAAGGACTCGCCGTGTCGTTTCATCGGGACGTGGCAATAAGGTTGCAGGATATTCGATCAGTTTCTTCCATCTAGCAGGGGGCTTACGACATCGTCCTCGGCACGGCGATTACGTGATTATGTTTCCGTGTGTCCTTCCCTTCCTTCCTTCCTTCCAGTCGGAAGGAATCGTTCGCCTTGTATCCTTTATGACGTCGGCCAACCCCTAGTCGCGTCAATTCTGTGCCAGGCATACAGATCGTCTCTCTTAACGGGGACAATTCCGCGGAGTATTCGAGCCACGTCGTGTCCGCTTTTCAATCGTACGAGCAAACCGAGTCGTTTAACGCTAGAGTCGCGGATTCATCGTTTTCTGTTTATGCACAATCGAACGACCGGTAGCAAAAAAAAAAAAAAAAAAAGGAAAAAAGTGAGTAGATGACGTTTAATTTGCGCGACAAATTCGCTGCGTTTTTAAAAAGTGCCCTCGCAAGGATATTTGTCACGAAATCAATTTAACGTGGTCCTGTTGAAGTTAAGAAATACTGGAGAGATACTGTGATGGATAATACGCTGTTTAAATATTTTTTATAATTTTTGCATTTGCAGGATACTTCTAATTAATGATAATTTAATATCATGTAAACTGTTATTGTTAGTGAAATGTTTGGTACTAATGAAATTCAGCAGATGATAACAAATCTCTATTTGTTTAATCGAATCGACGGAAATATCAATTTTCGTAAAAACGAAGAGTCTACGCATAACCGATATTATTGTGTATACCTTTGCACACAATATGATACATGTATTGCTTCGCCGCTGACGTTTCATGTCGCAAACAAATAAATTTTGGTAAACACGAACTTTGCATCTAGTCTAGATTAACCCATTGACGCGCATTCCACTTTCACGGACTGTTTCAACAGACAGTATTATCTCGCGAAAATACCGCCGCCAAACTAAAACCAAAAATTCGAAACGTTAAATTCTGTTTTCGTCGAAAATATACTTGTGCGCGTGATACGTTTGTTTTAACAGAAATATGTATGCATGACGACAACGACGACACCCGTCACGTGCGTCAATGTGTTAAAAATCCCGTCTATATTCTTTCTAAAACGCAATAGTAAACTGTGGCGAATTTAGCGCAAAAACGTTCGCCTGCACCGAGGCTAGCAAAGAACGTTTTCGTGACCTTAATAGAAAACCAGGTTGACCAATGAAGATCGTATCTAGTACAACGACTCGAAAAGTTTTCGGCTGTCTGGCTCCTCCTCTGTCTTTTTCCTTTATTTTCTCCGTCTTTGAACTTCTTTGGCTGCCTCGTTGCTTTCTTGCTTCTTGTGTACTATGACCCAGTTGGTGACGTAAGAATTCAAGATCGTGGAAACGATAGTCGAGTTTTCGGCGTTCTTATCGGTTGTCGCGCTTCCCCCCTGCCCCCGAGTTCCTTTCGCAAATAAAAGAGAACAACGATATGTAGATCCCAGTAAAAAGCGATGATAAACTATTTCGATCGCGATTCGAACAGTGTAGAATGCAGTTAATGGACTTGGAAGTGGAGTCAAGTTGAGGTTCCTGAACACAGGCAAACAACAATTTATTTTACGAAATAATTCTTAACAATAATTCAACCTTAATAATAATCTTGTGTGTGCTTTTTTTTTAAATACTGTTCGCTTTCTATAAATCCTACAAATCTCCCCAAAATACCTTTACACCATCGTAAATCGAGTTTTGTGTTCAATAGTGGATATCAAAGAATTGTCAATTTCGATAAATGGTCGATTTATTTAACTCTTTAAGAGTCAACATTGACGTAACGTTTGCAATTCTTTTTCAATTATCGAATCTTTCCATTAGCATCATGCCTGTAAAAGTTCCATTTAAATTCTACAACTTGATGAAACTTCAAAAAATTGAAGTATCCGTAGTCCTCAATAGATTTAAAAAAAAAAAAAAAATTGTTCAATTTCCGCATCATCAGGTTCAAGCTAAAATTTCGCTTCTGATAGAATGCGTAGCTTCAAAAACATTTCTTCTTCTTCTTCTTCTTCTACAGTGACGTTTTCATAAATATGACCGACAAGAAAATTTCGTGCAATACACAGCGAAACACGACTCGTTCTTCGCGAGGAACTGATTCATCGATAGATCGAAGGCGCGTCTATAATAAGATTCTAGCGTAACTTGCATCGATATGAATTCGTCTCGATTCCTTCTCGCGATTCGCGTTCTCGACGCTCGTGTCACTGCTGCGCGTTGAGAAAACAGCGAGTCTCAAAGGGATATTTTAATAATCCCTTCATTATTCCATCGTTTCAACGACGCTCCAGGGAAGAAGCATTGCTGCAAGCGGACCAGTCAGCTAAGAAAGTAGAAACTTTTAATTGCCAGCTACAATCGTAACTTTTATGGCAAATAAAAATCCATCGCGCTGTTCTTTCTGCGAATCGTCTATTTTCGCCAAAGATGCTAATAAACTGAGTTGAAATTACCTCGACGAATCTTAGCGTCCCCTGCGTTCAACGAATTATGTGCATCGTTGAGAATAGGTACTGACGGTGAGATTCGTGGGTGT